CGGGAGCTACTGATACAGGAAGCCCACGACTCAAACCTCTCGGGTCACTACGGGGTCGACAAAACTGCAAAAACTCTGGGTCGTCATTATTACTGGCCGGAGTTAACCCACGACTTGTAGCGGTATGTCACCTCGTGCGCCACGTGTCAGCTGATGAAGTCCTCCCGCCTGCGGCCAGCTGGATTGCTGCAACCGCTCGCGCCACCTACCAGACCCTGGCAACAAGTGACGATGGATTTCGTCACAGGATTACCGGCCGGCCCCAGTGGTAACGACGCGATTCTCGTCGTCGTCGATCGCCTGACCAAGATGGCTCACTTCGCCGCATGCAAGACGACGATCACGACCGAAGAAACTGCCAAATTATTCCTGGCGACTGTCGTCCGCCTCCACGGCATCCCCTCGACGATCATCAGCGACCGAGACCCGCGCTTCACGTCCAACTTCTGGACGAAAACGTGGGACCAGTACGGCACGCGCTGTGAGACTAACTGAACAGGAATGAGTTAGGCTTAGGAGCCTTGGTGATTGAGTTCGAGTAAGTTTAGGTAAGTCGAGAAAGTTGAAAAGAGAAGTGAGGGGTTTCACTATAGAGCGAGGAGTACAAATAGGCAAGAAGGAAAGGTGCACCACCAAACAGAACATCATATAACTACAGTAGTCTACACTACAGGCAGTTACAAAACAATATATAGAAATATATATTATTCTTGACACGCCCCCATAAGTGCCTGTAGGGAAGAATGTGCAGTCAACGCCCCCATAATGGGGTACACCAAGCAGAGTGAAGTTGAAGTAGCAGCAGTAGGCAACCAGTGCAGAAAACAGAGAACAGAAGGGAGAGAGGAGAGAGAGAGGAGAGGAGGTGGTAGGCTCTGGTTGGTCACCCCCTACATCCCCTCAACCTCCCCCTCCCCCTCCCCATCCCCCTCACACTGCTGCAGGAGCAGCAGAGGGGGGGGGGGGGGGGAAGCAAACGGAGGAGAATGGGGCCGTAGGGCTAGGGGAACAGACATTACCCATCACCCCCACACCCACCACCCCCAGTCCCTCCCCGGGCTCCCCCACACTCTCACACCCTCCCCCCCAGCGGCAGCTGCAGCAGAGGGAACAAAAGGAGGAGGAGAAGAAGGGGGAGAGGGAGGGGGGGGGGCCGACGCACGGCCTCCCTGGGCGCCAAAGCAGGCGGCAGAGGGGGCGACGCCTGCCCCCCCCTTCCAGGTCGCCCCTCCCGTCACCTGTCGAGGCGACCTGAGGGGGCCGCGTGCGGCCCCCGAAGGAGCCGCGACGGGTGACGGGAAAAGGGGGGGGGGCGGTGCACGTGCCCCCGGTGTGCCGCGGCTGACGACAGGGCATGGCCGGGGCGGGGTCGGGGCCGCAAGAGGGCGGGGCCGCAGGTGGCATCGGTGCCTAGGGTGGGTACCGCACGGGCGGCGACGGGCCGGGACGGGCGGCACGTGACGCCGCGAAGGGCGGCGACGGGCTGGTACGGGCGGCGACGGGCCGGGACGGGCGGCGACGGGGCCGCAGGAGTAGGGCGGCGAGGCCGCAGTGTAGGGCGGCGGGGCCGCGACAGCAGAGAGGCGGCGAGGCCGCGACAGTAGGGCGGCGGGGCCGCTTAAGAAGGTGCGGGGCCGCGAGCGGGTGGCGGGGCCGCGAATGAAAGGGCACACCACGGGGCGTGCAGTACACTCAGTAGCAGCGGAAGCACAAGGCCAGGATCGTAACTCTCTCTGATAGCATGTGAGACTAACTGAACAGGAATGAGTTAGGCTTAGGAGCCTTGGTGATTGAGTTCGAGTAAGTTTAGGTAAGTCGAGAAAGTTGAAAAGAGAAGTGAGGGGTTTCACTATAGAGCGAGGAGTACAAATAGGCAAGAAGGAAAGGTGCACCACCAAACAGAACATCATATAACTACAGTAGTCTACACTACAGGCAGTTACAAAACAATATATAGAAATATATATTATTCTTGACACGCGCCTGCACCTATCGACGGCCTACCATCCTCGATCGGACGGCCAGACCGAGCGGACAAATCAGACAATGGAGCAGCTGATACGCACCACGTGCACCGACCCGACACAGTGGGAAGAATCTCTTCCCTTGATTGAGTTCGCGTATAATAATGCTCCTTCGGCGACGACCAACCAGTCACCATTCTTCCTGAATTACGGGCTAGACCCTGTGACCCCGCTGTCGCCACCGATCGAAAATCCGGCGCCAAGGTCGCAGCGTTTCGTCGAGACTTAACGTAAGCATCAGCAAAACGCCGCCGAAGCCATCAACAAAGCCAACCAGATCGCTAAGCGGAATGCTGACCGGAGACGACGGGATCTTTCCCTCGCACCAGGGCAATTAGTCCTGCTCGACACCAGAAATTTGGGGGTGCCCCTCCCAAATAAACTACGCCCAAAATTTTGCGGACCCTTTCGCATTATCCGCATGGTGACACCTGTCACCGCCCAGCTGCTACTCCCTGACGACTGGCGAATACACGACTCCTTCCACGTCAGTCTCCTGCGACCGTTCGTCTCCAACACGAGTGATCTCGACCGTCAACGCCTATATCCGACGGTTCGCCCGGTTCCCGAACCCACGACCGAACCGGATAAAATTCTGGCTCACAGGGTCCGGGGACAACGAGCTTCAGCAGCCGTCGATTTCCTGGTCCGATGGGTCGATCGTACGAGCGAAGACGACCTCTGGATCTCGGCCGACACTCTCGGTTCACACCCTGCAGTTCGGGACTATTTACGCCGACGACATGTCCCAGATGTGGGTAGTCTCATCTCAGGAGGGGGGGTGGTGTAAGGAAAATCCTTTTCCTTACTGAGCTCAACCACAGCACGTACGCCCTCGGACTTCGGAAGGCTAGGCTCGGCCTAACTTTTCGGTCCCGAACCACTCTAGCGCAACCAAACCTAAATGCGGGGCTGTTCCGTGGCTTTCGTCACCCGAGTCGCCCCAACCTAGTTGCGAGGTTCTCGGCTAGCGTAATTGTGCCTATAAAGTGCCGTAGCCTTTCATTTGTATTCGGACTCTTGAGTCACGTCCTGTTATTGAATTCCGCGCTACTACTCTGATTCGATACATAACAAAAATGGGTTTGACGAACAGGACACGGTTACAAAAGGTCGTCACTTCCCACCGGAATTCATCACAAATCATGTAGTTGACAAGCCGACACTCGTCAGAGTCGTCGCAAGTCGTCGACAGCACACCGACACAGGCGAGGGAAAACAGTGATTTGCGGTTCCTCATTGGTGACGGAGGTCGATGCGACTGAAGCGCGGCTTGAGCGACCGGATGTCGGATTTGGGCGATGAATGCGACGCGAACCAAGTTATTCATCCGCGTTGAGACAACGCGCTCGCTCAAAGCCCAGACTGCGCGAACTTTCGTCTTGCCCAAACTGCGCGACACTTTCGTCCAGCCTAGAATATATCATGCGACTTCAGCTCCACACTTCACCACCCTGCGATAGAAAACTTCATTCTCAAGCTTATCCAAGCTAGAAACACCCAGGCGATTTTAGTGAAGGTATTTTAGATTGTCCTTGTAGCTCCTACTGCCATTAACTACTTCCCTAGATCACAAACTTGTGCGATCGATTCTCCGTCTCCGTTGAGAAGTTATCACTTTCAGCTGGACGTTACCCGAGTCGTTCCGAGATTTGTATCCTCGATAACAGGAGTGTTACTGGATAGCTCACACATGAACACCCTAGCGAGCGCCATGCAGTTGTGGGAGGAAACGGAGCTCGTTCCGTTATCAGTTCGATGGGAAACAGACTTGCCGGCCACCGTCAGCATCGCCGTTATATCTCTCGAGAATGACCAACCGTTAAAGAAGATCGTCTCACCTGCTGTTAAGGATCTCAACAGACGGTTTTCAGGCGCCGCGTCGTTTCTCGTAGACGCTTCCTTGCTCCGACCGTCGCTGCCACGAGAACTGCCGCAGCAGCAGCTGCAGCAGGGGGAGCAACAGCTGCAGCAGACGCAGCAGTTGAAGCGGCAGCAGTATCCTCAACTCTTCATCGATTTCTACTCCTGCCCGAGGCCCCTAGATTCCAGACTGCTTGGCCGTGCGACGATTCCCCTTGAAGGAGTCCTCGCTAGTCAATCAGAAAAGGGCTCGTACGACGTCGTTCAACCCGGCGGGATCGCCGGGCGACAGAGCAACAGTCGTGGAATCGCACAGGTGCATGTGCGATTAGGCAGCGCAATTCCCCTGCCTCGGCGAGGGCAAGCAGATCACCAGAGATTAGCCAATGTGCAGTCGATAATGAACCCCGCATGCTTCGCGCTCCCGGCGACTGTTTTTCGCGAAACTTTGCAAGATCGTCGCCACAGCGCGAATCACGCTCACGTGCGAATGCGAAACGGTCGCAACGAGTTGGGTCTTTCCAATGCCGTCAATCTAAGGCAAGTCGAATATCGTCAAGAGCAGTCGAGGAGCGGTGCCGCGCAGGAGGCGGCGAAATCAGGAAAAGAAAATGTCCCACCGGTGGTTGTCATTTGGAACCCGGACGGCATGCTCGAGGGATTAGGTTTCCTGGTCGTCGGCGCGTGAAAGCGCAGGAACAGGTTGTGAGTCGATTACATGACATGGTCCAAGCTATGAGCCATCTACCCGTGACAAGCAAGACGAGACGACACAAACTATTAGGTGAAGGGACGTACGATTCGGGGATGCTGGGAGGCATCAACCCTAAACACGGGAGCTTGCATGGTGTTTATGGTTGATACCTCCTTATGAAGCTTGTCATGTCGGAGTGTTTAGGAGTGTCGGTTGAGAAACAGCTTAGTTCTATACCGAGCATATCTACACTTGTATAGCGTATTTGGCTTGGCCCTACTCCCGTATTAATGTGTGTAGCATTTTAGGAGTCTTACATCTGACATTCATATATTTGCCCTTTCATTACATTCATGGTTGCTACTACACCACCACTGCATAATGTTGCACTTCATCTAGTGCCAAGCCCCCCCTACAACTCATAACCCACCACTAACCCTAAACAGTCCCCCAGTGTAGACAATATCAGAGCACACAAGCAGGCGGTTGTGACAGTAATGAACGGAGGAATTCGCAAGGGCGACGCCAGTAGGGAACGGCAGCGGGAAGCCGGATCGCAGGCGGTGATTCAGCAGAGGGATGAGGACGGAGCGAGAGAGAGCAGACACTATAGCCTGGAGTATATGAGTGGGGATATTGCCGACCAAACTCCACTCCTCCTGCGCTTGAAACTTGACGAGTTGCACTGAAGCGGTGATATTGCTGCCATCCACAGCAGCCGTTGCTGCGCACACAGCAACCATTTTCACTCCAATCACATCGGTCTGATTCCATGTCTCCCCTGGTAACACGGTTACCGTAAGCAGCGCGTCGACCTCCAATCCGATCCCGCCAGGTGTCAGCGTGGCGTTGGGCTGCTGACTGGCGTTGACTCGGAAGACCAGGTCGGCGTCGGGGTATTCGTGGAACATTTTGGGAAGGATCCAGCGCCACCCCTTGGTGTTGAGAAGCTTCCAGGGGAAGGAGTCTGGGAGGTGGTTTACGGTGTAGGAGAGCGCACCAGCCTGGAGGGGGGAGGGGATGGGAAGGGCAAGGGAGCGGACAAGGGAGAGGGCAAGGAAGAGGGTTCTATCATGAGAGTACCCTTGGAGTTGAGAAGGTTCCAGGGGAAGGAGTCTGGGAGGTGGTTGATGGTGTAGGAGAGTGCACCCGCCTGAAAGGGGAGGGGATGGAAGCGCAAGCGAGAGAGCAAGGGGGAGGGGATGGAGCCGCAAGCGAGAGGGCAAGGGAGAGGGAAAGAAGGGGAGAAGGGGAGAGGGCAAGGCAAAGGGCACTGATGTTGATGCCCTTGCCTCCGAGCCATCTAATAGGCCCCCTAGTTCACCCACCCACCTCGTAATACACTTGGCTGGCCGAAGTAACGAGGTGCTGAGACAGAGATAGCGCCACCATCTGCCCTGAATCCGCACACTCATCGCCCTCCCCCACACACTTTGTATCCTCCGCCACACTCCCTCCCTCACTCCCTCTTCCGCGCCCACTACCCATCACTCTCCCAGGTTCCTTCTCCCCTTTGCCTCCCCCTATACTCGCCTCCCCCTCAGCTTCATCTCGCGCCCTTTCCACCTCCCCACCGGCACTGCCAACCGCCCCCATCTCCCCCAACGCCCTCACGCCTTGGTAGCTGCTGATGTCAGCACCACGGTCGATGCTCAGCCCACCACCACCAACACTACTCTGTGTGCTGACGTCAGCAGCGGCAGAAGCAGCGGCAGCACGGTGGGATGAGATGCTGCGATCCGACGGCAGGAAGCGGCCGTGGCAGGCGAGCGAGATGCCCTGGCCGTCGATCTCAGGATCAGCAGGCAGAGTGGCGTCAAGAGCAGCAGTGGAATCGATGGGCACGATGCGTGGGAGGGCCTGCAGAGCAGCGTTGGCGGTGGCGACCACGGTGTCAAGGCTGCTTGTGATGGCCGCTTCCATTGCCGCCTGCAGGTGGTTGGGTAATAAATCCACCAGGCTGTAGGGGGAAAGTGGGATGGAGTAAGTACAACACGAGGGGAAGCGAAAGGCGGTCAGCAGGCAGCGGCAGCATCGATGGGGACGATGCTGGGGAGGGCCTGGAGAGCAGTGTTGGCGGTGGCGACTACTGTGTCGAGGCTGCTTGTGATGGCCGCTTCCATGGCTGCCCGGAGGTGGTTGGGTAGCAGATCTACTAGCCTGCGGGAGGAGTGGGGAAGAGGAAGGGGGAAAGGCGGTCAGGGGGTGGGTTGGAGGGCCTGGAGAGCAGCGTTGGCAGTGGCGACTACGGTGTCGAGGCTGCTGCTGATGGCCGCCTCAATGGCTGCACGTAGGTGATTGGGTAAATAAACCACCAGGCTGCGGGGGGGAGGGAGGGTAGCATCAAGAGAAGAGAGGTAGCAGTGTTGGCGGTGGCCACTACGGTGTCGAGACTGCTTGTGATGGCCGCTTCCATTGCTGCCCGCAGGTAGTTGGGTAATAAATCCGCCAGGCTGTGATTATAGCAGGGGGGAGGGGGGGAGACCACAGTGTGGCTGGGGAGAAAAAGGGGAGGACGGGAGGGGAGGCGACAGGAGGGTGTTAGGAGGGGAGGCGACAGGATGGTGTTAGGAGGGGAGGCGACAGGATGGTGTTAGGAGGAAACTGTATGTTGCCAGTCAATCACAGCTTGCCAGTCAATCACAGCTTGCCCACCAACCCCAGCACATTCCCCCTTCTCTCCAGCTCTCTCTCCCTCCATCTCCGCCCCACTCCCTTTCTCCTCCCTCTACATCACATTCCATACAGTCACACTCACACGGTGTACAGCCAGGAGATGCTCCCAGTGAGCTGAATTTCGATTGAGTCAATCGCCGCACCGCGCTGCAGCAGCTGTCTCCCCCTCTGCCCCACTCTCCTCCCTCCTCCCCAACCCATACAGTCACACCCCATACAGTCACACTCACACGGTGTACAGCCAGGAGATACTCCCAGTGAGCTGAATCTCGATTGAGTCAATCGCCGCACCGCGCTGCAGCAGCGACACCCACAGCCCGCCGAACCGCTCCTGAAGCTGCGCCGCGATTCCCGCCTGCATTCCCGTGATCTGCACGCTCGCGTTCCCCGAGTCGCGCACATACCCGCCCGCCATTGAGTAACTCCACGTCAGACTGACGTTCGCGGTGATTCTACCGGAAAAAACGGTGATTTCGCCGCCTTCGTCGCCAATCCCTAGGTCGATACTCGCGTCGTCGACCGTCGCGCTCCATAGAATCATATCCGTTAAGTTCACTTGTAACGAGCCGAGAGGCTTGGGAAGGTCCTTCTGAAGCTGGAGGTCAGGTATGGTAAGCGGGATTATCTCTTCAAGCACTTCCTTTACAAGCACATCTCGGAACGACTGCAGGCCGGATTCTGACAGCCGCGCGGAAATCCCGCCGGGAGATGCGGAGGAGAGAGGCACGCGTGGCGCATGATGCGAGTCGCCACGGCTGGCGTTTAAGCGCTTAATCGCCGTTAACCGCTCGTTAGAATCTTGACTGGTTAATGGGAAGGGAGACTTGAGAACATCCTTCGCAGCGCGTAGCGGGTAGGGCGCGCGGATTGTGGAGTGCAGGAAGCGGAGGGGGAAGGCGGCGCGCGGAAAGCGCAGGTAGCGGGCGGGCGAAAGGCGGGAGGCGGTTCCGGTAGATGCGGCGAGAGCAAGGCAGAGCGCCACGTGGAATATGAGGAGCGTTGCTCGGGAATTGAGAACACGGGGACTGCGGCGAGCGCGAACAACGGCTGCGGCTCGTGAGGCAGCCATGGATGGCACGGAATTGAGGACAGCCCAAGGCATAGCTTTGTGCCATCAAGAATTTGTGTGAGTGTGAGTGCAAACCAAAAAATTTTGAAATAAAAGCGAGCATAAATCGGCCATGGAGCAATAGCTCAGTGGTAGAGCAATCGACTGCAGATCGATAGGTCCCCGGTTCAAACCCGGGTTGCTCCTTCTGTTTTTCAATTTTGCTTGCTGTGGCTAGCACATTATCAGTGTACCTTGTTTGCTACCCAGCTGGCAGCAAAAGGGCAGGAAATCGACTTGCATGATTTTTTTTAGTGCTGTCAGTAGCCATACATCAATGCGTTGCATAAACAATGTCTTACGGCAGTACTCCTGGCTCATCCACTTCTAACTAACCCCTTGGGTGGTACCATAAGCAAGCTTGCAGGACCATCCACCCACCTACTGACCCTGCAATCCATCCTCCTCAAAAGGTTAATTCATTCATCCTCCTACCTATCCTGATATCCATCCCTCCACCCACCATGTGCATCATGCCTGTGTCACCCCACCCACACATGACTATCAGACTGAACCTTACAGCACCTCACAACTCAACCACCCTTCCTCTCACCCATCCTCAGCACCATGCCTGTGCAACAACCCCAGGTATGTGACAAGCAGATTCACCCGCCCACCGCCATCCCCATGCTGTTCGGGGCATCGTCCCACTTTTGAAGGGACTCAGAACTCTTCAACTGGTATGCATTCTCTCACCAATCCTCAGCACCATGCCTGTGCAGCCCCAGGTACGTGAAGAGCAGATTCACCCGCCCACCGCCATCGCCAGGCTGCTGCAGACAGCGCCCCACCATCCTCTTGTCTCGCAGACTCCACAGCTTCTCAAGACCCATCATTCACAGCATGCCCGTGCAACCCCAGGTACGTGACCAGCAGGTTCACCTGCCCACTGCCACCCTCAGGCTGCTGCGGCCAGCGCTCCATCATCCTCTTGCCTTGCAGACTGAGCATTATAGCTTCTCAAGACCCATCATTCTCCAGGTACGTGCTCGTCATCTCATCTCATCTCATCTCATCTCATCCTCCTCAGCGCCATGCCTGTGCAGCCCCAAATACGTGACCAGCAGGTTCACCCGCCCACTGCCGTCCTCTGGCTGCTGGGGGCACCGCTCCACCATCCTCTTAGCGTCACACCCCTTATACTCACACTCGAAGAAGTGCCGGCCAATGGGGTCGCGCCTCATCGGGGTGTGCCCACACGCCCTCCACATGTGCCCATCCTGTATAGTCACATTGCCAGGGCCGTCCACTTGCACAACCGTTAGAGTCACCTGTTCTCCTTCCCCTTCTCCTTCTCCTTCCCCATCCCCTACCCCCTCATCCTCCTCTTCTGTATCCCCGTCACCCTGGTAGCCTCCCTCTTTCTCCTTCTCATGCTCTTTCACTTGCTCTTGCTCACGCTCAGTCACACCAGCAATATTGGTCACAGCAGCAGCAGTATTTGCATCCTTGGGACTGTCTCCAAAGCGAGTCCTCTTGGAGGTCTCCCAAGCACAGGATGCTGTATTGACCTGAGCGTTGACTGGGTTGACTTGCTGTGAAGCGTTGACCGAGTTGACTGGGCGCACAGGTATATCCATCAGCGGCGGGCGGCTGCGTTTGTTGCTTCTCGGCTGGTTGTTGCTGGCCGCGGCCTCTTTAGCCAGATGCTGCTGCTGCTGCCACTGTTGCTGCTGCTGCTGCTGCTGCTGCTGCTGCTGCTGCCACTGTTGCTGCTGCTGCTGCTGCTGCTGCTGCTGCTGCTGCTGCTGTTGCTGGCACTGCTGCTGCAGGACCTGTTGTTGATGGTAGTGGTTTTGCTGGTATTGCTGCTGCAGCTGGTGTGGCTGGTATGGTTTCGTGGTCGGCGCAAGTGACTCTGCTGGCACGGTGGCAGAAGCAGCTACTGTACAGAGTGCTACAGTACTATGCCTTACTGTACTTGCACTTACTGTAGACGGGTTTACTGTAGAACACGTTACAGTAGCGGCTGACTGCGCAATGGTGCGTGCAGCAGGGGCCAATTGCGGCGACAACGAAACCCCACCAGGAGTGGCGGAAATTGAAGGAGGGTGGGGAGGAGGAGACGACAGGGGAGGAGCAGGAGCTGACGTGGCAGCAGGAGGAGCTGTAGCAGCAGCTGACGTGGCAGCAGCTACAGCGCAGAGCACAGGCGGTGAGAGCGATGCGAGGAGAGCGGGTAGCTCTGAGGGCTGTACGCGCTGCAGCACTGTGAGAATGGCAGATGCTGTTTCCATTGAGAGAGGGGGAGGTGCAGATGGGGGGAGAGGGTGAGAGGAGGAGGACGGGACGGGGTGGGTGGCAGGAGACGGAGCTACTACTGCCACCGCTGCTGCTCTTGCTGCTTCTGCTGCTGATGCTGCACCTGTTGCTGTTGCAGGTGGTGCATTGTGGCTTGGAATCAGGCTCGGAGCTTGGCTCGGGAGCTGGGTGGTAGCAGCAGCAGCAGGAGCAGGGTCGGTAGAGCAGGGCACAGCAGCCACCCTGCCTGCCACGCTGCCTGCCACGCTGCCAGGCCTGGGGAACCCACTGCCCGGTAGGCCACTTCCATGAAGGTTCCTGCAGTTGACCGTGTCTCTGTTGGTAGTACTGACTGTGTTGCTGAGATTGTGGGTTGTGGAATTGTTGATAGTGTTGCTGATGGTGTAGCCTGAGCTGGCACCCTCCCCGCTGCCACTGGCAGTTACACTGCAATGCGCCGAGAGAGGGAGAGAGAGAGAGGAGAGAGATTGCGGGGGAGGGAGAGTGAGAGGAGGGGGATGAGGCGTGGAGGCTTGGTTAGATAGAGGGGAAAGTGGGGAGGGAGCGGGGCGAGTGAGAGGGAGGAGAGTGGTGTGAGTGAGGGTGGAAGGAGGAGGATGAGAGAGGGAAGAAGGAGGATGAGAGAAGGAGGATGGAGAGGCAGCTTGGCGTGAAATCGCCCCCAGCCGGCGATGGTCAGGTGAATTGGCAGACTGATGCGCTGCTTGTCCTTTCCCTCCCCCCTTTATAGCTGCATCTAGCTGAGCAAACCCCCCCATATCCTCTGTTATAATCACTCTCACGTCGCCTGCATGCCCAGCTGTAGCACGCCGCCCGGTTGCCGCCCCTTTTGGGTGGTTGTGCTCGTCCTTGTACAGAATCTCCATGCTCCCGCCGCCCGGGGCCATCTCGGCGGTTTTTTTTGCCGGGCAGCCCGGAACAGCGCAGCGGAAATAGCCCCTGGGGAATGAAGATCCTTTGGGCGGCTTCTGCCCGTACTTCCGCCAGGAATAGCCGTCTGGTGGTAGGTCCATTCCCAACGACGGAGGGGACAACGCAGCAGGAGAAGAAGCGGCAGGGGGAGCAGTAGCAGGGGGAGCAGTAGCAGAGGGAGCAGTAGCAGGGGGAGCAGTAGCAGGGGGAGCAGAAGGAGAGGCAGCAGCAGCAGCAGCAGCAGGCGTGGCTGCGCGAGTTGCAGAAGCATCATCCCCACCGCCACCACCACCACCAGCACTAGCACCAGCCGCCGGCGCAGCAGCTGCTGGTGGTGGTGGTGGCGATGCCTCACCCTGCCCATCCACCACTGCTGCACAGCCACCCTCTTCAGCCTTCCTCCTCCCTGCTCCCACGCCCACACTCCCTTCGACTCCGCTCCCACCTGCTCCCCCTCCTCCTCCCCCTCCTCCTCCTCCTCCTCCTCCTCCTCCTCCTCCTCCTCCTCCTCCTCCTCCTCCTCCTCCTCCTCCTCCTCCTCCTCCTCCTCCCCCTCCTCCTCCTCCTCCTCCTCCTCCTCTCCCCATCCTTCCCAGTTGACCCCCCTCCCCTCTTGAGGGGGACCCAACTCTCCCTTTGCCTGACGGCAATTGCCCGTGCCCGGACAGAGATTGCCCCACCCTGCCTCTCTGGGTGCTTGGCTCCCTGGACACGTGGAGGGCCGTTGGGGCTGCACGGGCTGCTCCACATGCGCTGCTGGGCAGGGCGGCACCTGAGGGAGCACCTGAGGGGGCACCTGCGACAGCACCTGAGGCTGCATGTGCAGGCGTGAGTGCAACAGTGCGTTCAGGTGCTGCTTCAGGTGCACATGAGGGTTCACCTGATGGTCCACGCGAAGGTTCAGGTGCCGCTCCAGATTTTTCATTGTTTCTGATGCCTGCCTCGCTCGTGATTCCCACCCCAGCGCCACCTCCGCCGTTTCCCCCTGCAGCAGCGCCACCTCCGCCGCTTCCCCCTGCTGCAGCAGCATCTGCGCCGCTCCCATCAGCAGCAGCGCCACCTCCGCCGCTCCCCTCAGCAGCAGCGCCTCCTCCGCCGCTTCCCCCTGCAGGGGCGCCGGTTCCCCCTGCAGCAGTGCCGGCTCCGCTGTTTCCTGCTCCCCACACCGCGGAAGGGGCGGTAGCAGGTGACACAGCAAGGCATGTGCTTGTACGGGGGGTGTACAGTAACGGGAGCAAGCTGCAAAACACTTCGAATGTCTGCTCTTTAGATGGCGCTGCACCGTCAGTTTCGTCTTGACGAGCCTCATTGTTACCACCCGCGCCCGCTTCCCCAACCATGCCCGGCGCTGCTACTTCCGCCCGCCGCGCTTCCCCCGCCGCCGTTTCTCCCCCGCGCGCGGCTCCCCGCTGGTCCCCCGTCCGTATCTGTCCCAACGCCTCTGGTCGCGCCCATTCCTCCGCGAATGCCGCACCAGCGGAGAGTTTTGGCGACGCTGCGACCCGTTCGCGAAGCTCGCCGACTGTCGCCTGCGGGACAGCGACTTCCTCGAGCGACGGTTCCGACGTTCGCGATGTTCGCGAAGCAGAGGCGGCGAAGCGCGGAGTCGGAATGGAGATCTCGGGTAAGGAATCGTCGTCGAAGACAAACGGAAGGGGCGGCAGAACGTGGGCAAGCGACGAGCATCCGCCGCCGCCGCCGCTGACGGCAACGCCCGGCGGGGCCACGGTGGATGGCGGAAGCCCCGCGGAAGCGGTCGGGGAAAAGGCGGAAGCGCAGACGGAAGCGGAAGCGGAAGCGGAAGTGGAAACGGGGAGGGATGCGGAAGAGACGAGGGACGCGGAAGAGGAAGAAACAAGCGCGGGGACGGTCGCCAATGCGTCGCTTGCTAAAGCCGCCGCCGCCGCCGTCGCGGCCGCTTTATTTCCCAACTCGGAAAGTCCGTCGGTCTTCAGGCCGCCTCCAGAATTGACAACTTGGCTCAGATCGTTAACGTAGAACTGAGTCCGCTCTAAACGAGAAAATCCTTGCTCCACCTGTCCCGCTCTATCGTACACGTCGGAGGGATCTCGCTGCATTAAAACCCGGGTCGCAATGTGATGAGAAAGCGACGCAGCCATGCGGGTGGTCAAGCTAGCAGTTAAGGCCTCGCCCGTTCCGAGCGGAAGCGGCGCAGCGAAAAGCCGCTGCCCTTCCGCCTCCCGCTCGCGCTGCTGCTGCTGCTGCTGCTGCGCTCCCTGGTCTCCGCCAACCTGGCCTCCGCCACAATGCGCCAATTTTTCCGCGCCCCTTTCAAGGAAATGTTTCCCGCTTTCCTCTTGCCTACGCTCCTGCTGCTGCTCCGGCTGCTGATGCGGCTGCGGCGGCTGCTCAGCTCGTCGCTCTCCTTGCTCCGTGTACCGCGGTCGATCCGTCCGCCAATGCTCCGCGCGCCCATCGTCCGCCCGACGGAGCACTAAACCAGCGAAATCGCACCGCGGCGCGACATTCTCGTCGCAACTGCTATTGCGGGAATCCAGGAGTCTCGGCGTGCGTCGCCCCGTTTCAAAACGCTCACTCTGCCGCCCGTACCCTGCCCGAGCTTCGTCCGCCACGTCAGCCCTAGACGCCAAGGTCGTTGTGCTTGGACCCTGCTGTTGCGTGTATTCTTCGATCCGTCGCTGCCGCGGCAATTTTTTTTGTTGCAGCTGCTGCTCTCTCCTGTGCTGCAGCTGGTGCACGCTCCTTTCCTGCTGCTGCTGGAACGGCTCCGCTCCTTCTTTCTCCTCGAGACACGTCTGTTTCGGTTCAGCGTTGCGCCGCGTACGGCGGCGAAACGTGTGAACGAAGCTCTGGTCATGGCGTGCTTCTTGGAGTTGGGGTTGCGACGAAAACGCGTGGGTTGGATTTTGGTCGGTGGGAACCGCGTGTCTCCCCGATAGTTGATGCAGCCGACGGCGGTGTGGGGAGGAAGACGATGAGGGCGAGGGAACAGAGCAGTCTTTTCTGCTGCTTGCCTTGAGCGCTGGGTTGGGTGGGTTGTTGGCCGACATTTTTGTGCATGTCGCGAGTGAAATGCAAGGGACGTTTGTGCACTTGAGAAGGATATATTTCGATTCTCGATTGAAGCAAAAAAATGAGGTGCGAGATGGAATGGGAGAAATTTGTGATTGTGGCAATGTTGGGGGTATTACACAGTTCCAGCTACAGACGAGGCGAGGAGGTGTGTGCTTGTGTGTGAGTCGAGGGGTTGACGGACGGTGGATTGATTTCAGATCTGGAGTAAAAGTAGGTCAGCGCACAGAAGAGCGCGATGCGACTTCTGGTTCAGGCAGTGAGAGACAGCGATGCGACCCGCGGGGGTCCACGATTTGAAAACCAGGTTTCGTAATTCTGCGGCGAGAGTAATTGACTGCGGTCAACGACAAAGTGGGCGTTAGACTGAGGTCAGCCCTTGAATACAGAAGCGATAGAGCTGATGACACGTGGAATGACCTCATGAGTGAAATGAAAGCGAATGCACCCGATGAGGCTGGAGGAGGTAGGTGCGAGTCTGTGTGTCTTTTGCCCACGACTATCTTGTCGTCTGGTGGAGACCAATTTTTATTTTGATGTAGCTTATCTGCTGGGTGAACTTATTTCCTAAGTTTCGACAACACTATCGTCTCAGGGTTTGCCGGTTAGTTTTTCGTCCAAAGCAAAGAAAGCTAGAACAAACGCCAGTCTGGATATACGTTACGCTACACCCGGAAAACTAATGGGCATAAAAAGCAATTCAGCTTTCTCCATCGTAAGTTGTCGTACAACCCTTCCAATATGCCAAGCGCGGGAGAGCAAGAGCGACAACCAATCCCAGTTGCTGTGGGCCATGCCTTCCATGCCACGACAATTTGGCAGTTACCAACGAATTTCAAACACCCCGCCGTCACACCAACTCTACAAGAAGCAAGCCGCTTTACGCTGACGCGTTTGAGCGCTCCTATATCAGCCTAGTACAATTTAAGCTCCCGCATTTTAGCCCTACAATGCCTCTCTACGATTTATTCCCATCAGCCTTAAACTACCATTTGCACAATAAGCTAAAGCATACTGTTATACTACCCAATCAGCCGCTGCCTACTCACGGAGGTAACCACTTGTGATTTGAACGCAGTGGCCGAGAACTGTAGCGCTGTGTCTCGGATCATGAATCCAAAATATGCAAGACCCAAAATGCCTGCTACGACTGCAGTCACGAGGAACCACCACTGCAAGGGGGCATAATGGAGGGATAGGAACTAAACTGAGTGAACATGCAACAAAAACACAGACCTTATTCCATCAATTGTCATATATTCAACTGCTGCTCTCTTATACACCCCTTCCTCCCACACAACCCCCACTTTTACACTCACATCCTGGTTGCCGCCATAGAGCTGCCCGTACACGTCAATCCCAAGGAACACATTGGCGCAGCCCATGGCAATCGCCGCGATGCCCATCGCCCAGTGGAAGGTCAGCCACGCGGGGCGGTTGGACGTGCCCTTGTCGGGGCGGAAGAAGCCCAAGAAGGGCTGCACGAATGTGAGGGCGAGCGCCACCACTCCCAGCTTGCCATGTGTCCACTCCAGGCCCTGGGAACCTGACACTATGAACACCATTATGGCCGCCACTAGCACCAGGATTACAGCACAGATTTGAATGTACCTGGGGAGTGGGGAAGGGGGGAGGGGGAGGCAGGGAGAGGCAGGTGGCAGGTGCAAGGAGGAAGGTGAGCCACACAGGGCGGTGGGATGTGCCCTTGTCAGAGCGGAACAAGCCCAGCAAGGACTGCACAAAGGTGAGAGCCAGCACCACCGCTCCCAGATTGCCATGTGTCCACTCCAGGCCCTGGGAACCTGACACAAAGAACACCATTATGGCCGCCACTAGCACCAGCAGAACCGCACAGATTCGAGTGTACCTGGGGAGGGGAGGGAAGCAGGGGACAAGGTGAATACGGAAGGGGGTGCGGGGGAAGGTGTTGACGGGACTGATCTGAAGGATAAGGTTTCGGGAAGGCATAAGTCTCGTGTGAATGCAGAAGGCCCACATGTTAACCCAAAACAAAACATCAGCTTAGCAGCACATAGGCGAGTACGTGCATGATGTCATGCACCATCAGCACCACTCAGCAACCTCCTTACCGCCTCACACCCGCCTACCCCCCTTGTGGCAGAGGAACCAGAGGCTCCTGTTGGTGTGAGCGTCCTTGTCGTCCTCGCAGGGCAGAGTGGGGCGGTCGTTGGGATGGGATCCCCCTTACCGCCTCACACTTGCTTCAACCCCACTACCCCTCCTTACTTATGGCAGAGGAACCAGAGGCCCCTGTTGGTGTGCATCTCCTTGTCTTCATCCGAGGGCAGAGTGGGGCGGTCGTAGAGGAAGAGGCGCGCGAGCAGCACTCCCAGGGGCATGAGCAGCGCGTAGGCGAGTGCAAGCATGATGCCGTGTGCCAAGAGCACTGCCTTCTTATTGCTGTTGCTGCTGGTCACTGGGGCGGACGTGCCGTTGATGAATGCAACTGAGGCCGAACCACTGGATGGGATAGGGAGGGAGGGAGAGTAGAGACGGGAGGGGAGGGACAGAGAGTGGAGGGAGGGGAGGGACAGAGAGTGGAGGGAGGGGAGGGAGGGAGAGTAGAGAGGGAGGGGAGGGACAGAGAGTAGAGAGGGAGGGGAGGGAGGGAGAGTAGAGAGGGAGGGGAGGGAGGGAGAGTAGAGAGGGAGGGGAGGGAGAGAGAAGGGGCATGAGCAGCACGTAGGCGAGTGCGAGCATGATGCCGTGCAACAGGAGCACTGCTTTCTTGTTGCTGTTGCCGGTGGTGCTGACAGGGGCCGCGGAGCCGTTGATAGGAAGGGATAGTGGGACAAGATAAGGGGAGGAGATGAGGGAAGAGAACAGGAGAGAAGTGGGCAAGAGGGGGAAAGGAGAGAAGAGAAAAGAGAAGAGAGAAGAGGAGATGAGAAGAGGAGATGAGGAGAGGAGATGAGGAGAGGAGATGAGGAGAGGAGATGAGGAGAGGAGATGAGGAGAGGAGATGAGGAGAGGAGATGAGGAGAGGAGATGAGGAGAGGAGATGAGGAGAGGAGATGAGGAGAGGAGATGAGGAGAGGAGATGAGGAGAGGAGATGAGGAGAGGAGATGAGGAGAGGAGATGAGGAGAGGAGATGAGGAGAGGAGATGAGGAGAGGAGATGAGGAGAGGAGATGAGGAGAGGAGATGAGGAGAGGAGATGAGGAGAGGAGATGAGGAGAGGAGATGAGGAGAGGAGATGAGGAGAGGAGATGAGGAGAGGAGATGAGGAGAGGAGATGAGGAGAGGAGATGAGGAGAGGAGATGAGGAGAGGAGATGAGGAGAGGAGATGAGGAGAGGAGATGAGGAGAGGAGATGAGGAGAGGAGATGAGGAGAGGAGATGAGGAGAGGAGATGAGGAGAGGAGATGAGGAGAGGAGATGAGGAGAGGAGATGAGGAGAGGAGATGAGGAGAGGAGATGAGGAGAGGAGATGAGGAGAGGAGATGAGGAGAGGAGATGAGGAGAGGAGATGAGGAGAGGAGATGAGGAGAGGAGATGAGGAGAGGAGATGAGGAGAGGAGATGAGGAGAGGAGATGAGAGGAGATGAGGAGAGGAGATGAGGAGAGGAGATGAGGAGAGGAGATGAGGAGAGGAGATGAGGAGAGGAGATGAGAAGAGGCATAAGGCACAACGACCATCCAAGTCAGCACTAGATGGAGCCAAGCTGAGTGACGGCTGATTGGAGAAGGCCCAGATGACTGCAGTAAGCCACACCTGTGACCCAGCAACTTATTATTCATGCACCTCTTAAAAAAGCTGCACTGCATTACCTGTGACCCAGGAACCCACCAGTTGGAGCCGTGGAAGCTGAGAGATGGCTGCTCAGAGAAGGACCAGATGACTGTGGTGCTGCCCTCTGCATTGATTGGCGCCGTGCCGTCCGTTGTGGAGCGCTCAAACCTGCTCGCAGGTGAGAGAGGGGGGGGGAGGAGAGTGAGGGGGAAGGTTAGAGGCAGATAGAGAGGTTTTGAAGGACCAGATGACAGAGGCAGCAAGGCAGAGATAGGAAAGCAGAGGCAGTCAAGCAATCAGAGAGAACCGGAGGGGCAGAGGGTTGCACAGGCAGGAAGCCTGCTTTTGAGTCGACTCAACAGCACAGGCAGGAAGCCTGCTTGAGTCAACTCAACAGCACAGGCAGGAAGCGCACTCAAACCTGGTGAGGGGGGCAGGGGGGGCAGCAACACTGCGAGGCAGGGATATGCAGAGAGAGGGGGGGAGGTGGAGAAAGAAAGGGTGCCAGGCAGAACAGGCATCGTCAGAGAGAGGGGGAAAGGAGAGGCGCCTCAAAGCCTGTCAGAATCCCCTTCTGCCCCCAAAATCCTTTGCCACTGAAACCAGCTGCACTCACTTCATGATGGTTCTTCCATTGCTGGTTTCCACCGACGTATTCGCGAGCGTGAAATCCCCCGAAGGCACCACCTCGCTCTCCTCGTACCCGCCGATGTAAAACGCGCCCACCGCAGCCCCGTTGGCGATGGCACCGAACGGCAGGTTGCCAATGGCCACGTCTGAGGGCGCCATACGACCCTCCCGCGACCAGCCCAGGGAGAGGTACCCCGTCGTTGCTGCCTCTGCTGCTATGGCTACAGTTGTCTTGCTGAGCGCCTTCCAATGCAGGATGAAGCTGCGTGGGAGGAGGTTCGAGGAGGGAGGGGGGTATTGGGGGGAAAGATGGAGTGAGGGATGGGGAGCAGACGACAAAAGCCAGTTACATGCTTGATCAGAATGACACTTGTGTTCCCACAACCAAGTCACTCACTTGTCGCCACTGAGCTCCAAGGAGCAAGTGTGATTCGCCAGCCATTGTAGGTGACTATTGGGCTCACTACCTTGTTACCATAACCACTCACTTGTCGCCACTGAGCTTCAAGGAGCAAGTGTAATTCGCCAGGGGAGAGGGGGAGCATCCCACCATTGCTGCTGCTGATGGTGCCGCTAGTGCTACCATATGCACTCTACACACCTGTGTTACCACAACCAAGCGACACTCACTTGTCGCCACTGAGCTCCAAGGAGCAAGTGTAATTCGCCAGCCATTGTAGCGAGGTGACTATTGGGCTCACTTACAAGTTACCTTGTTACCATAACCACTCACTTGTCGCCACTGAGCTCCAAGGAGCAAGTGTAATTCGCCAGCCATTGTAGCGAGGTGACTATTGGGATCACTTACAAGTTACCTTGTTACCATAACCACTCACTTGTCATCACTGAGCTTCAAGGAGCAAGTGTAATTCGCCAGGGGAGAGGGGGAGCATCCCACCATTGCTGCTTCTGCAGCCACCACTGCTGCTGCCGACGCTTTTGCCGGTTTTCCTGGTTTTGCTGCTGCCGGTGCTGGTGCTGACGGTAGTGGCACTGCTGGTTTTGACGGTTGTGCTGCCACTGACGGTGGCGCTGCTACTGCTGGTGCTGACGGTGCTGCGGACGATGCTGGGGCGTCCAGAGCAGGCGGCAGAGGGGCGGAGCCATGGGAGTTGGCAGGGGAGCAGTTGAAATAGACCACGGCAGAGCCCCTGAGGAAGGGTGGGGTGGGGTGGGGGTGGGGGCATAGGAGAGGGAGGGGAGGGGTGAGAAGGTGAGGGGAGAGCAGGAAGGCCAGCAGTTAGTGCTGGTGCTAATGATGGCGATGATTCTGCTGGTGTGCCCAGAGCAGACGGCAGAGGGGCAGAGCCGGGTGTGCTGGCAGGCGTGCAGTTGAGATTGACCAGAGCGGGACCCCTGGTGGGCGTGAGGGGAGTGGAATGAGGAGAGGGGAGGGGAGGGGACGGGTGAGGGAAGGAAAAAAAAAAAAAAAAAAAAATGTTGGAGCAGGCAGCAGAAGGGGTGAGCTGGGCTTGTTGGCGGGCGTGCAGTTGGGATGTTTTGAGATGTCTCAAAACACTTGTTCAAACAACAGGCGGCAGAGCTGGGCGAGTTAGCAGGCGTGCAGTTGAGATTGACCAGGGCAGAGCGACTGGAAGGGGGGAGGAAGTGGGAAGACGACAAGTCAACCAAGTCAACCGAGTTGGGACAGCAAAAGTCCTCGGTTGACACATACCTGTTGAGAGGCCCGTGGCCAGCAAAAGTCAGATGATGCAGTTACCACCCGACACCACATCCAACTTGAAACATACTCGTTACAGGTGTCTCGTTACAGCACATACCTGTTAAGAGGGCCGTGACCGGCTAGAGTCTGTGTCTCATCAGCCGAGAAAGCCCAGATGATGCGGTTACCACCTGACAGCGTTACAGGCGCAAGCCCATCAATGGTGGTCCGGGCAAAGCGCAGAATCGTGCTCCCACTGGCTAATGGAGCTTCGGCCACTCCAATCCCGCCACCTGCCGGCGCGCCATTGGCCGATGGCGCGAGTGTGACTATAGTGGGGGCGCCAATAGCGAAGGCGGATGTGGGCGAGATTGTAGCGAGGGTGCGACCTGTGATGGTGTAGGCGCTAATGGCACCGCCTGTAGTGCGAGGGAGGTGGGGGAGGGGTGGCGGGTGTGGAGGAACAGGGAATGTGATGGGCGTGAGAACTAACCCACCCCACCCCACCCCTTCCCCTCTCTCTCACCTGCCATGATGCCAATGATGGCATCAGAGGGGAACATCTTGCCTTTCTCACTCCACCCCACTCCATCCCTCTCCACCACTACTTTTACCTGCCGTGCTCCATGCTCTGCCCTCTCTTCCCCTCTCTCTCACCTGCCGTGTTGCCAATAATGGCGTCCGAGGGGATCATCTTGCCTGTCTCGCTCCACCCCACCGCCACTCTCTACCCCACGCTCACCACTCTCTACCCCACGCTCACCACTCTCTACCCCACGCTCACCACTCTCTAACCCACGCTCACCACTCTCTAACCCACGCTCACCACTCTCTAACCCACGCTCACCACTCTCTACCCCACGCTCACCACTCTCTACCCCACGCTCACCACTCTCTACCCCACGCTCACCACTCTCCGCCCTTTCCCTGCAACCTTACCTGCCGTGTTGCCAATGATGACATCCGAGGGGAACATCTTGCCTGTCTCGCTCCACCCCACCGCCACCCACCCCTTCTCCGCGCCACTCCCCGGCCGCGCCTCCAGCGCAAAGCGCACGAGCGTGGGGGTCGCCACCGCCCAATGCAGCGCCAACCTGAAAGGGGAGGGGAGGGGAGGGGAGGGGGGGGGGGGGGGGGGGGGGGGGGGGGGGGGTATGAGAGAGCTTCTCCGCGCCACTCCCCGGCCGCGCCTCCAGGGCAAAGCGCACGAGCGTGGGGGGCGCCACTCCCCAATGCAGCGCCAACCTTGAGGGGTAAGGGAGACAAGGAGAGAATGGGGGGGTGAGAGGAGAGGAGAACCGCAAGTTGGAGGGAAGAAGAGCGGTGCATGGTACATCAGAGGGTGGAGGAGAGAGAGGGGAGAGTAGAGAAGGAGGGGAGAGAAGGGGAGTAGAGGAGGGGAGTAGAGGAGGGGAGTAGAGGGGAGAGGAGGGGAGAATAGATGCCCAGAGTGCACGACTACACACGTTATTCCGTTGTAATCCCCTTCGCTACACTCACTTGTTCCGCACCAAAGGTGCCACGAATGAGTATCCAGGAAGGGAAGATGCTTGGCAGGCCGAACCTCCTGCCGAACCTTCTGGGGCGGGGACCACCGGCGGCTTGGTAACTGGAGGCTTGGTAACAGGCTTGGTTACGGGAGGTTTGGTGACTGGCTTTGCAACAGGGGGCTTGATGACAGGCTTGGTAACTGGTGGTTTGGTGACGTTAGTTTTGGGGAGAGGAGGTTTGGCAATAGGAGGCTTGATAACAGGCTTGGCAACAGGTGGCTTGATGATCGGCTTGGTAACAGGCTTGGTGACGGGAGGCTTGATAATCGGCTTGGTGACTGGCTTGGGAACTGGCTTGGTAACAGGTGGCACGGGAGGTTCGGCCGGAGCAGCAGCTGAGGGCGGGGCGACAGGGTCTGCATGGCACAGGGAAGGCAGGTGGGGAGAGGGGAGAGTAAGATGGGAGAATGGGTGCGGGCGCATGAGAGGGGAAGTGAGAGTGAGAAAAACAGCGCATGACGGAGCATGACAGAGCATGACGGAGCATGACGGAGCATGACGGAGCATGACAGAGCATGACGGAGCATGACGGAGCATGACGGAGCATGACGGAGCATGATAGAGCATGACGGAGCATGACAGAGCATGACGGAGCATGACGGAGCATGACGGAGCATGACGGAGCATGACGGAGCATGACGGAGCATGACGGAGCATGACAGAGCATGACGGAGCATGACGGAGCATGACAGAGCATGACGGAGCATGACGGAGCATGACGGAGCATGACGGAGCATGACAGAGCATGACGGAGCATGACGGAGCATGACAGAGCATGACAGAGCATGACAGAGCATGACGGAGCATGACAGAGCATGACGGAGGATGACGGAGCATGACAGAGCATGACAGAGCATGACGGAGCATGACGGAGCATGACGGAGCATGACAGAGCATGACGGAGCATGACGGAGCATGACGGAGCATGACGGAGCATGACGGAGCATGACAGAGCATGACGGAGCATGACAGAGCATGACGGAGCATGACGGAGCATGACAGAGCATGACGGAGCATGACGGAGCATGACGGAGCATGACGGAGCATGACGGAGCATGACGGAGCATGACGGAGCATGACAGAGCATGACGGAGCATGACAGAGCATGACGGAGCATGACGGAGCATGACGGAGCATGACGGAGCATGACAGAGCATGACGGAGCATGATGGAGCATGACCGAGCACGACAGAGCTAGACAGAGCATGACGGAGCATGACGGAGCATGACAGAGCTAGACAGAGCATGACGGAGCATGACGGAGCATGACAGAGCATGACAGAGCATGACGGAGCATGACAGAGCATGACGGAGGATGACGGAGCATGACAGAGCATGACAGAGCATGACAGAGCATGACGGAGCATGACAGAGCATGACGGAGCATAACGGAGCATGACGGAGCATGACAGAGCATGACGGAGCATGACGGAGCATGACGGAGCATGACAGAGCATGACGGAGCATGACGGAGCATGACGGAGCATGACGGAGCATGACGGAGCATGACGGAGCATGACGGAGCATGACAGAGCATGACGGAGCAAGACAGAGCATGACGAAGCATGACGGAGCATGACGAAGCATGACGGAGCATGCCAGAGCCTTAAAGAGCATCGCAGAGAGGCAGAGGGCATGAGAGTCGATTCTGTATTTTGACTCAAAATACACGTCAATGCCAGCAGGTGGGTGGCACGTCAATGCCAGCAGGTGGGTGGCACGTCAGCCAGATACATACCACCATCAACAGCACCACACGTACCGCCGCCGCACGAGAGGTCCATGATGGCCGTGATGGGAAGCTGCACGAGTGAGTGCCGTGCCCTTGTGTGACCCGTGGTAGCCCAGCGGATGCGAGGCACACTGAGACCAACCCACGTACCATGCATCATCAACACCAGCAGCACCCGCAGCACCAGCAGCACCCGCAGCACCAACACCACCTACAGCACCAACAGCATCATCAACACCAGCAGCACCAGCAGCACCCGCAGCACCCGCAGCACCCGCAGCACCCGCAGCACCCGCAGCACCCGCAGCACCAGCAGCACCAGCAGCACCCGCAGCACCAACAGCACCAGCAGCACCCGCAGCACCAACAGCACCAGCAGCACCCGCAGCACCAACAGCACCAACAGCACCAACAGCACCAACAGCACCAACAGCACCAACAGCACCAACAGCACCAACAGCACACGTACCGCTGCCGCACGAGAGGTCCATGATGGCCGTGCCCTTGTGTGACCCGTGGTAGCCCAGCTTGTGGGCGCCGTCGCTTGAGAAGGCCCAGATGATCCTGTTCTTGCCCGTCAGGTTCAACGGCACCGTGCCATCCGTGGCATTCCGGGTGAATCTGACGCGGGGTAAGGGAGAAGAGACAGAGAGATGGGGTTGTGTGCCCGCTTAACAGGTGTTAAGTGCACTCATAGACAGCACTCATACTCACCCCATCACTCATGGACAGCACTCACTCACCGTATCACAAGCACTCACTCCATCAACGTGCTGCCCTCAGCGGTGGCACTCAGCGCCTTGTTCTGTGATAAAAGTAGTGCATTGAGATGTCTCAAAACATCACTCATGGACAGCACTCATAGTCACCCCATCACCTTGCACTCACTCCATCAACGTGCTCCCCTCAGCGGTGGCACTCAGCGCCTTGTTCTGCCCCAGCTTCATCACGCGGCTCCCCACCACCGCGTCGGGGGAGTGCCCCGTGAGCGCGTATCCGCGCACCATTCCGCCCAGCAGGTTCCCCACGACCGCGTCCGCCTGCGCCATTCCGCCCGTTGCGGACCACCCCACGGCGAACCACCCCGCGCTTGCCGGACCTGGCCACGCCTCCACAGCCATTTGCACCTTTCCGGAAGGCTTGGGGGGATTCCAGTGCAGGAGGAGGCTGGGGGGAGAGGGGGCGGAAGGACGGGGGGAAGGTGGGGAGGAAGGGGGGAAAGAGGGGAACGGGGGGGAAGGAAAGGGTCAGAGAGTGAATGGCCGCGCCTCCACAGCCATCCGCACCTTTCCGGACGCCTTGGGGGGGTTCCAGTGCAGGAGGAGGCTGGGCGGAAGGAGGGTGCGGGGGAAGGACGAAGGGGAGAGGGAAGAGTGAGTAACTGCCTCCACACCCACCTGCACCGTTCCGGCCGTTGTCGGGGGGTTTCAAAGGAGGAGGCTGGGGAAAGGTGGGGAAAAAGGGGTGGAAGGAGGGAGGGAGGGAGGGAGGGTAGACCTTGCTTCCTTAATTAGCTTTCGTCATCCTACTTCATCCTAGTTTTCGGAAACTCGCGAAAACCTTGGGAGTTTCATCTTCCCCCGTCCCCTCTTCCCCCCCCGTTCCACTCACTAATGGGCTTTCAGTTTGATGTAAAATTTGTAACCCGCCTTCGGGGACTCGCGACAACCCTGGGGTTTGCGGCCCTCGGAAGTGCCGCCACCAGGAGCACCGCCCCCGGGAGTGCCGACCCCAGGAGTGCCGACCCCGGGAGTGCCGACCCCAGGAGTGCCGACCCCGGGAGTGCCGACCCCGGGAGTGCCGACCCCGGGAGTGCCGACCCCAGGAGTGCCGACCCCGGGAGTGCCGACCCCGGGAGTGCCGACCCCGGGAGTGCCGACCCCGGGAGTGCCGACCCCGGGAGTGCCGACCCCGGGAGCACCGCCCACGGTAGTCCCGACCCCGGGAGTGCCAGCCCCGGGAGCGCCGACCGGGGGAGTGCCGACCGCGGGAGTGCCGATCGCGGGAGTGCCGACCGCGGGAGTGCCGACCGCAGGAGTGCCGGCCGCGGGAATAGTGGGTTTAGGAGTGCCAGCCGCAGGCAACCCCCCCGTAGACGACTCCTTCTTGACACTTCCGTCCATTCCCGTGCCAGGGGACAGCTTGGGCGGAAGCGGAAGCGGAGCCACGGGGAGGACTGGGGAAGCCTCGGGGGTAACTGGGGAGGCCTTGGGGGTTGGCGCGGGCACAGCTCCGCCAGCCGGGTCTTCCGCCTTCGCGCGCCTGCAGGACATGTCCGCTGTTGCCATTCCGCTGATTGTGGGGGAGGGGGGAGGGTAAATGGGGAAGAGGGAGGGGAAAAGGAAAGGAGGAGACGGGTTGGCGTAGGAGGGCGCGGGAAAGGAGTGTGACACAAGTAGGGGGAGGAGGGAAGGGGTAGGAATTTCTTTTTGTGACAAGTAGCAGGGCCGTAGAGCAGGGTAAAAACAAAACGTTTAAAAATACAACTGTTCTTTTCTTCGTGGCATGCCGTGTTCATAATGAGGCCGATACTCTTACTGTCCAAATCATCCGCGAGACTTACACGTTATCCCCTTTGAAAGCCAGCTCGGTCCCGCCATCCGCGGAGTACGCCCAGAACATCGTGTTGCGCCCATTCATATTCACCGGCGCCAGCCCGTCGGTCCCGCGCCGCGCAAACCTGCGCGCAAGGGGAATTGGAGGAACAGGGGGAGAAGAAGAAAAACGTGGTTACTATTATATTCCTCACTCATGCCAGGCCGACAACTCAATAAAATTCGAGACTGACGCATTGTTTGCTCCTGGTAAGACTGAAACATTCCCTCACGTTCAAGCCAATCCTTATGGTACAGCACTCACCTTATAATCTTCGTGCCGTCGTCCCGCACGACCATCCGCGCATTCGACCCCAGCGCGATCGACGCGTTGGGCGCCACGAGCGCCGGGTCCTCTCCACTGATACTGTACATGCGCACATCTGCGTCTGGTAAATTACCCACGATCGCGTCCGCGGGAAACATCTCCCCGTCGCGCGACCATCCCACGCCGAACCAGCCCTTGGCTACGCCAAAGCCAGCTCGCGCCTCCACCGCCATCATCGCTATTCCCGCCTCGCCCGGCTCGCGCCAGTGGAACAGGAACCTGCGGGGAGGGGGAAGTGGAGGAATGGGGGGAGCGGAAAGGTGGGGAGATGAACGGAAAAGTGGGGGACGGGGGAAGAGTTGAGGCGGAGGGGATGGGGGGAACGGAGAAGGGGAGGGGTTGGAAGCGCAAGTCAGGGAGAACTTGCGGCGGAAAGCAACTGTTCGCGCGCCCTGGAGCAAACCAGGGCGCGAAGTTCGCTCAACTGTTACGACTTCGCTCACCCCCTATTTTTCAACGTCGTTTGGAAGTCGTAATCCTTGAGCGGCGACGGTTCGCAGACGGGAGACTGTGCGAATCCGGTGGCCTCGCGAACGGAATACGACGCGTCAACAACCCGGTGGAGAGAGGTTGCGAGGCCGAGGGCGACGAAGGCGAGGATGAGGAAGGAGGGGCGCGTGGGGGGGAAGGCGGACGCGCCGCGTTGGCGCGCCATGAGTATCGGAATGATCATTAACGGTGCACACTATTGATGGGGTATGAGGATACGTAGGGCTAGTCTCTTGCGAGTCAAGTCAATCTAAAGCACAAGCTGAGACAACTGAGGGTTGGTTACTTGAGACGGGAGGACATTTTATCCTTATCGTTCCGACTTTCTTTGCCTGGTTCTGCCGATTCGAGTTGCAGTGTGGGGCGGCTGGATCGGTATACTCTCGCTGGCGCTTCCCGTTTTCTATGCTAACCTCCACTTCCCTTCTCCTCTCTCACTAGCTCTTCTCACGTGTCAACGTTTTTCGAATCGTGGCTGATAAGCCGAGAACCTCTGAGCCAATGGATGTCGAGAGCTAGCCCCTCTCTTAACGGGCCAAGTGGTGTTGGTGTGAGCAGCCGCGTACGTGCTTGCTTGTTTCATCCTGTTAGCGGTGGTGATTTTAGGAGGATTTGTGGGGCAGAGACAGGATAGCAGGCGCCGTGAACTCCGGAGAGAGCAGCAGTGTGCATTTGATTTTATGGCGTCTCGGGTGGAGAGAAGGGAATGGAATGATAACACCTGGCAGCACGCAGGCGAATTTCTGTGCATTACAGAAAGCGATTCGGGTGTGACTGGTGGTTGCGATGCGTTTCAATGTTTCTACCGAGCTGGGGGGAATGGAGCGACTCGTAAAGCATCGCTATAAGTTTCCCCGACTCCCGAACCAAGGCTGTTGCCTTGGCATCACTGGCGACGTGATTTGGCGACGGCATCCCTGGTTTCGCATTACAAGCGAAGAGGGCGACGACGAGCGAAATATTGACCCTGCTCAAACCAAGCCATCACCCGGAATGCTTTATCATCTTTCCCATTATACATTGCCATACTTCCTCGTGTATTCATTGCTAATTCTTCAAACTTTAAATTCCTACCTGAATCTAACACAGATTCACACTAAAGTGGCTTATTCCACTATGCCAGCTGTATCCCATATATACGTCTCGTTATAGACTGATTCACCTGATGAACCATAATATTCTGTTGCCCACCTCCTTGCGTTAGGGTAATAAGGCAGGATTAGACTTCCATGTCATGCGCCGAGTTAGCAAAACATGCCTAGAGTATATGTGGTTTACTTTGTAATGCTGCCACCTTTCACGTGAAAGGAGCTCGCTTAGGTTGCACAACCGGTGCATTACCACCACCACCACAGCTGCTACCGTTACAAATCCCCCAGTAAAACTCCCAAAGCTTTTTCCAAATAGCCCACCGGCGTGCCCTCCTCGCCACCCTGTGTTGCTCTTCATACACTCCGCATTCGCACGTTGCACACCCACATCCTCCGCTACTATGATCATCATCATCGTCATCGTCATCGTCATCGTCATCATCGTCGTCGTCTTTACAGTTGATGCTGCAAGGCCTGGGCGTTCTGCTCTGCGGCGCGCGGATGATCTGTGGAGGGTAGTGGCACGAGTAGTCCACAATTGCAATGCCCCTGGTGGGAAGAAAGCAGGACGTTTGGGGGAGACATGAGATCGTGGAAACCCCAATGGCAGGGTAACGGCAAGGGCAAGGCCAACGGCAACAACATCGAAATCAACTTAGAGAGTGCAGAGAGAAGGGTATTGGGAAAGTGGATGTAGGGGGGAGCATGGGGAACACACAGTCAGATGGGCTGCCACACACCCGTGTTGTGAGTGTGTGCTGTATCGGGTGTAGACGCATGACTCATGGCACATGCGAAGTCACATGGCACACGCGCACTCACAAGAGAATAAAGACCACCATGGAACAGGCATGCAAGAATCCCACAAGAATCTCACATGGCAGCGCTGTGGTAAGAGAGCGTGGACATGAGATTACGCGAGTGCGCCCTTGTGTTGAAAAGAATAATCACACAAGAATTGCACATTGCGGACTAGATTGCGGCGCCATGGTAGGAGAGCGAGGACATGGCATTGCGTGAGTGTATCCGATATAGCAGGCATCTCAGGTTCCCCTTTTTGAATAACTACATACTATAGAGACATACGACTCACATGGCACATGGCACATCGCACGTGGCACATGCGACTCACATGGCTCATGGCACATGGCACGTGGCACATGCGACTCACATGGCACATGGCATATCGCACGTGGCACATACGACTCACATGGCTCATGGCACATGGCACGTGGCACATGCGACTCACATGGCACATGGCACATCGCACGTGGCACATGCGACTCACATGGCAGCGCCGTGGTATGAGAGTGTGGTCATGGCGTTGCGCGAGTGCGCCCACACCACCCAGCTCTTCCCCTCGATGTGGAATATCGACTGCGACCCAGTGCCGTTCTCCCGAGAAAACCTGCATGCAGGGGGTGGGGGGAGAAACGATGGGTTATTAGTGTTGGGGGAGTTATGAGTCAACTCAAGAGTGCGCCCACACCACCCAGCAGAAAGAGGGTTTTTGTTTTGTTGGGAGGAAGAGGGAGAAAGAGAGAGGGAGAGAGAGCATAAGAGAGAGGGGGGGAGGGAAGAGAGACAGTAAGAGAGATTCACAGAGAAAGAGAGAGAGAGAGAGAGAGAGAGAGAGAGAGAGAGAGAGAGAGAGAGAGAGAGAGAGAGAGAGAGAGAGGGAGAGAGAGAGAGAGAGCGGGAGAGAGAGAGAGAGAGAGAGAGAGAGAGAGAGAGGGAGAGGAAAAATGTGATGCAAATTAGTGTAGACGAGCCTGCAGCAGCATTCCTCACTTGATAACAGTGGAGCAATCTCAATAGCCAAGTTGAATTCTGAGTCAACTCAAAGGTCAAGATTCAACTCCAGTGGCATCACTCACTTGACGATGGTAGAGCAATCCGGCGCCGCCTCAACAGTCTTGTCGAACCCGAGCGAAAAGTTCATGGTGGGAAACACCTGCGTTCGCCGGTAACCAGTCATTTCGTACGCAGCTACACCCGGGGTGTTACCAATCACGGCGTCAGCGGGGGCCATCTCGCCGTTATCGGACCAGCCTATACCGAGCCAGCCCGACCCCGCGTAGCTGTCTTGCGTCGCCTCGAGCGCCATGTGCACGGTGCAGCCCTCCACGTTCCAATGCAGAATGAGCCTGATACGATACACATGCAAGGGAGCAGAGTTTGAGAGAGAGAGTATCTTAAGAGTTTGTTTGAGTAGCTTCCAGCGCCATGTGCACGGTGCAGCCCTCCACGTTCCAATGCAGAATGAGCCTGATACGACACACATGCAAGGGAGCAGAGTTTGAGAGAGAGTCTCTTAAGAGTTTGTTTGAGTAGCTTCCAGCGCCATGTGCACGGTGCAGCCCTCCACGTTCCAATGCAGAATGAGCCTGATACGACACACATGCAAGGGAGCAGAGTTTGAGAGAAAGAGTCTCTTAAGAGTTTGTTTGAGTAGCTTCCAGCGCCATGTGCACGGTGCAGCCCTCCACGTTCCAATGCAGAATGAGGCTGACAGGGCGACACGCACGCAAGGGGGCAGAATGTTGGGATTGCCTCAAAGGTGAGAGCGTTTGGATTAGAGCAGTAATTACACGCCGGGGTTTGGGGGCGTCTCAGCAATCGCCCCAAGAAACCACCCCAAAAACCCGCCCCTTTGAGGCGTCTCAAAGCTTCATTTGGAGGTCATTACACGCAGCCAAGGGGCGGATTTTTGGGGCGCCTCAATAATCGTTTTCGAGGCCCTGCAAAAATCTCCGCGCTCCAATGCAGAATGATTTTGACGCCGAAAGGGAGATCATTACACACATCTAAACTCTTCACGCTTCATTGAGAATGATTCTGACGCCTACGAGGAGAACATTACACGCAGCCCAGCGAATGATCATTACACGACAGGGTTCTTGAGACGCATCTAGACACTCAACGCTTCATTGAGAATGATTCTGACGCTTACGAGGAGAACATTACACGCAGCCCAGCGAATGATCATTACACGACAGGGTTCTTGAGACGCATCTAGACTCTCAACGCTTCCATGAGAATGATTCTGACGCCTACGAGGAGGCGATCCAACCAGGCCGGCGGAATGATGCAGCCAAGGGACGGGTCATGAGGCAGCACAGACCAGCAGGCAGCAGGGTATTACAAGGCAGCCTAGCGCGCATGCCGCATCCATGTGATTTTTGAGGCGCCGTAATGATGCAGCCACGGGACGGGTCATGAGGCAGCACAGAACGGCAGGCAGCAGGCGGCACAAGGCAGCCTAGGGCACATGCCGCATTCAAGTGCCAGGAAATGCGGAGAAACGAAGCATTTAGGACCAGATATGTGACGTACTTAGGACCAGAAAATAAGACGTACTTGGAGTCGTAGAGCTTCGCAGAGGTGAATTTTCAGTCGACTCAAAACTCACCTCTAAAAGATCAGAGGAGACGGCGCACAGACTGCAGCACACAGGATCAGAGTCAGGACGTACTTTGAGTCGTAGAGCTGCGCAGAGTAATTATAACCCTGGAGAGTCGACGGCGGGCACGCGTTACCCATCACCACCTTTTCGCACTCGCACTCCTCCTCCTCTTCCTCTTCCTCATCCTCCCCCTCCCCCTCGTGCTGGACCTCCGAAGAGGACGGCGGAGGATAACCGGGCGCCGCGGTGCTCGGCTTGCGCGGAGAACCTCCCCCCTGCCCGCCGTCGCCGTAGCCGCCGCCGCCGCTGCTGCCGTACTCGGGGTTTGTCCCTGGCGGTGGAGGTTCGGAAGGTTCGGAAGGCGCGGAAGGTGCGTAAGGCGCGAGCGGAGGATCATCATCCGCGGGGTCTTGTTGCGGCTTTTGCTCGTCCGCGGGTTCCTGTTGCGGCGCTTGCTTCTTCGGAGTTTTCCCGCTGCCCCCGCTCGATTTCGGTTGCTCGTCATAATCGCCACCTACGTCAGTAGGATCAGAAGGTGCGCTTTTATTTCCGGCGCCTCCTGGCGTCTCCTGAGTCGGGTCAAACAGCGCGCCGTCTCCCCTATCGTCGCTAGTAGGAGGGTCAGCAAGGTTCGAGTCGTTATCTGCGGGATTAGAACCGTCGTCTGTAAAATCGTCATCACTGGGCGAAGGTGCGTCGTCTGTTGCAGGCGGATCATCAGTTGAAGCAGGCGGATCATCCGCTGTAGCAGGCGGGTCGGCTGTGGCAGGCGGGTCATCGGTTGTAATAGGCGGGTCATCGGTTGTAATAGGCGGGTCATCGGTTGTAGCAGGCGGGTCGTCGGTTGCAGCAGGCGGTTCGGCGGGTGAATGATCCACAAAAGGCTCGTCTTGCGTGGGGGGCTCGTCGGTGCCATCGCCGCCGCCTGAGCCTCCTTGCCCACTGGGCACTTCTTGGGTATCCGAGGGGCCTTGACCATCGTTCGCGTTGTTATTGCCGTCATTCGCACCGCTTTTTTCGCCGTTATCTCCGTCGGACGTGCTTGGATCCGTGAAACTCCAGTTCCACATGCCGTCGTCTCTGCTCCTGCTGCCACTGCCAGTCCCCCCTCCTTCTTCCGTTGTGCTTCCGCCACCACCGCTGCTGTCGCTCTCTTCCGTGGTAGTCAAGGCCCCGCTATGGTCACCGTCGGGCGGGGAGTCGAGCTGTTTGTTAGTGGCGGGTCCGCCTACGGCGGGGTCGACAATATCTAGAGAAACATCTTCCGATGTGGCACTTTGAGCATATGCCGCACCGGCGGGCGTGATGTGACTGGCTAGCGAAGCGAAGGGAAAGGATGCTACCAGTGCGACGGAAAAGACAACAATAAGGTACTGCCATGTTCTGAAAAATATCCGTCGCGAAGCCGATCTCGATCCTTGACGCAGCGCCATCGGAAACTAAATGTGGTTCCTTGCGGCCCTCTTACCCTGTATGCTGCATGCTTGGCAGAAACAAAGCTAAACAAAGCTTCAGATTTTCTTATTCCTAACAACTGACACCTACAGGGCTGTGTGCCTAGCCTATGTGCCTTGCGTAAACGCTAACTCAATCGATCTATTACTGGACGAAGTTTCAGTATCAAACTGAACGCTCTGACGGTTCACATTCTGCATGCTGATCGGAACACGAGCACCAATGTCGTTTGCTCTGGTCGAACAAAATTGTTCCGTAACACCGCGCTTTTTCGTCTGTGCGGATGGCGAAGGACCCTTGCACCGACAGGTGGTTTGTTCTGGGGTGGTTAGTTATCACCGACCACGAGCAGAGGTGGACACTAGATCAGGTGACGGCAGTGCAAGCAAGAGGAGGAATCGTGCAGCCGTCACTTTTCTTGTTGGAGGGGCCATTCTAGTGGAGTCATTTTGCCCCTCCCTGGATATTTCCGCTTCCTTGTGTGGAATGTGCAGCAATGGCTCCAGTTTGGGTGGGTAGTTGGATGGAAGACAAAATTGAAATGTCGCGACTCGGTTTGGGAATGCCTAATCGAACCGCGGTGATCTCGTCGCTTCTGGGCGTGGTTGAGTTAGCCGAACCGCACGTCACGTTTCCCTGTGGGTGGGGAGCTTTGCTTGGACCTCTCTATTGGTTCGATGCCACATGGAACCTCAATGACGGAAGGCGACTGCAAAGACGAGTCTGTTGGTGTGCACAACGTGGGTGATTGGTTGACGAGGGCTATACGCGCGAACCGATATCGCGAGGAACTCACGCAGGAAACGGTAGCTGGTTAGTAAATCAACAACATAACTTCTACCTGCATTCTAAGTACAATTGCCACAAAATTGATTTCTCTACACATCCAAAATTGCAGGCAACACATCATATATACTTGCTCTTTCAAAATTTTAGGACAGCCCACTCGAACTAGTAAGTAGGCACATCGCATCGCATGCTGCATGACCCGAACTTGGAACAATATGTAAATCACATATGCTATGCTGCCTATGTGTGTTAATCATGCCTTACTCGATGGTGTCAATTGTTGTAGCCTGTAGTGAGGCTTGTTTTAGGGGGTAAAAGTATTAGGATTTACTATATGTACCCCAACCCACATCAATGAAGACACAATTCAGTTTCTAACATGGTATCACCTAGGTTAGGATCATGTAGAATCCCATTCCTCTTGCCCAAGCCTCCCAAGCCTCACACGCCTCACCCGTACCGTCCTGTCTCGTAGCGCCGCAGTAGCGCCCCTTTTGTACGCCCGTCCGCCGCGCACCTGCAATCACGCTTGCCGCAACGCGTTCTGCCCGTTCCCGCGCCCGTCTTTTCTCGTCCCCCGTCCCTTCCCGTCCACCGTCCCATCGCGCGCCTGCCCTAAGCGCCCGCCGCGCCTGCCATGAGCGCCTGTCAGCGGGCCTGCCCTTAGCGCCCACCACGCGCCTGCCCTTTGAGCCCGCCGTGGGCCTGCGTTCTTGCGCTTGCCGCGTCTTCCCTTTGCTCTTGTTGCGAGCCTGCCCTTAGAGCTCGCCGCCCCGGCCCTTCGCGTTCCTCTAGCATCCGCCTACTTTTGGTCGCGCACCTACCCTGCGCACGCCCGCGCGCCTCCTGCCCAACCGCTTGTCTCCTTGCCGTGCTTGTCGCCCTGCCCTCGCCTGCCACTGCGCCCTGCCGGCGTTATAGTTTCTGCTTTCGTTATGGCGACGCCTAGGGTCCTTCGCTTTGACGCCGAGGGTAGGCCACTCGAGTTCTATGTCTGGCTCCAGCGTGCGCAGCGTCTCCTAAATAGTCAAGTGCATGCAAATGAGTCTCTGTGGGCGCACGCATCCGGTGACCTCCCCATGCCCCCGGATCCTAATACCCTAGGCTTTGATGCTACCCCTGAGGGCAGAGAGCGTGTTGCGCGTCAGCGTGCTGGCCTGAATGCCTGGCAATCGTGCGACGCATCGCCCTCAACAGCCTACTTCCTAAGTCAGAGGAGACTCATTTCAAGCAGGTTCGTACGGCTAGTCAGTTCCTTACTGCGATCAAGGCCCGCTATGCTACTCCTTCCACTGTCTCTCTTGGCCGCCTGTTCCTCCCCTTCCTGTTTCTTGACCTCGCCTCGTTTGAGCGCTCTGGTGATCTGATCGCTCACATGCCCTCACTGGACTCTAGCTTTCGCGCTGCCTACACTGACGCACAGCTTGCACTGCTACCTCCTCCCATGGCGATCACTATCTATTTCATCGCCAGTAGCCTCCCTGACCGCCTTGCCTCGGTATGTGACGCGCTTCTTATGAAGCACCCTAGCGAGCTCACTATCGGCGTCCTTGCGTCTGCTCTCAGGGACGTCGAGAGCAGCCTCCGCTAAGTAGCCTCCGCCTCTGGTGCTGTGCCCCCCCCCACTATTTCACGGGTGCACGGTCCCTCAGCTGCCCACCTTTACTGCTTCCCTCGCCACTACCGCAACTGACGTGACCGCAGCTACTGCTATGAATTCTTCGCGGTCTAGGGGTCGGAGTGGTAGGAGGGGCGGCCAGGGTGCGGGTGGCGGCGGCAGTGTCAGATTATTATAGCTGATGCATGTTTGTAGGCTATAGTGGGGTAGCACATATGGGGTACAGTTTGCTAGGGTTGTATTTGTACCCAACTCTGACTTAGTCAATTCATTCCTGTTCAGTTAGTTTCACATGGTATAGAGCGGGTCCCTCCTAAGGACCGTTCTTTGGGCCCACCCACGATTTTTTTTTTTTCCTGCCCGGAGCGCGCCCTATTCTCCCCGAGGCGCGCTCCCCCTAGTGCGCGTCGAGCTACCCTTGTGGCGCCCCGAGAGTCGCGCGCGCGACTCATTTTTTTCGCGCGCGCGGTTCAGGCCCCACTTCGCGCGGCCCTTACAGCCGCGCCGCGCCGCCCTCTCGGCTCTGCCGCGCCGTGCCGCCCTCAAGACGGCCGCGCGGCCTCTTCGTCGCTGCAGCAGGCCCCCCCCCGCTGCACCTCTGTCGGCCCCGCAGCCGCCTTACCTGACGGCCGCCGCCTCACCTGACGGCCCGCCGCCTCGACTTCTGGCCCGCCACCTCACCAGACGGCCTCCCCGCCTCACCTGACGGCCCACCGTCTCACCTGCTGGCCCGCCACCTTACCTGACGGCCCCGCCGCCTCACCTGACGGCCCGCCGCCACCTTACCTGACGGCCCCGCCGCCTCACCTGACGGCCCGCCGCCTCACCTACTGGCCCGCCACCTGACCTGACGGCCCCGCCGCCTCACCTGACGGCCCGCCGCCTCACCTGCTGGCCCGCCACCTCACCTGACGGCCCGCCGCCTCACCCTCTGGCCCGCCACCTGACCTGACGGCCCCGCCGCCTCACCTGCTGGCCCGCCACCTGACCTGACGGCCCCGCCGCCTCACCTGACGGCTCGCCACCTCGCCTGCTGGCCCGCCACCTGACGGCTCCGCCGTCCCCAGTCCCGGCCCCGCAGCTGCACCCTGACGGCCCCGCCGAGCCGCCCAGCAGCAGCCGAGCCGCCCAGCCGCAGCCGAGCCGCCCAGCGGCAGCCGAGCCGCCCAGCAGCAGCCGAACCGCCCAGCAGCAGCCGAGCCGCCCAGCAGCAGCCGAGCCGCCCGGTACCCGAGCCGCCCGAGCCGCCCGAGCCGCCCGAGTCGCCCGAGCCGCCCGAGCCGCCCGAGCCGCCCGAGCAGCCCGAGCCGCCTGCTGCTGACCTACCCGACTCTCCCATCCCGGTGAGACTTTCAGCTGCTGCCATGGCCACCCCCAATGTTCTCACTTTTGACGCTGAGGGGAGGGCCATTGACTTTGCCGTCTGGATCGAGGACCTGCAGCTGTACTTACTGTGTGATGCGGTAGATGAGGTCTCTCTCTTTGACTTTGTCTCTGGCGCTGTCCCTGCCCCGCCTGCTGATGCTGACTCTGCCGTTCGCTCCAAGTGGGCGACCCGCGATGCTGCTGCACGTCTTGCTGTGCGTCGCCACCTCCCTTCCTCTGAGCGTGCCCACTTTAGTCAGTGCAAGACCGCTCAGGCCTTGTACGACGCTGTAGTTGCGCGCTACTCCTCCCCTTCCTCCGCTACCCTTAGCCGCCTCATGCTACCGTTTCTCTTCCCTGACCTCGCTTCCTTTCCCACTGTCGCTGACCTCGTTACCCACCTCCGCGCTAGTGACACCCGCTACCGCGCTGCCCTTCCTGCTGAGTTCCGCGCTGCGAACCCTCCTCCCATGTACATCACTCTCTACTTTCTCGTCACCCGTCTCCCTGAGTCCCTTCGTGTCGTTAGGGACCAGTTTCTCTCTGTCTGTCCCACCACTCTCACTATCGACCTCCTTGAGGAGTCCCTGCTAACGGCTGAGAAGAGTATTGTCGCTGTAGGGGCCTCTCGGGGTGACCCTCGCACCCCCATCTTTGAGGGGTGTGGTCCCTCCCCCCTGCTGCCCTCTGTCGCCTCTGCCGCTGCGGCCGACCTCGTTGGTTTTGAGTCGGTCGGCGCGGCGTCTGCCCCCAGTGGCAGACGCCGCACTGGCAAGGGCAAGGGAGGCAAGGGAGCGGGTGGAGCCAGAGGGGGCGGTGGAGGAGGCGGTGGGGGTGGAGGGG